ATCTTGTTCAGATGTTGCTACTAAGATAGTTTAGGTTATTTATAAACTATGTAGTTCTATGTGTAGGATGTTACTGCTTCTACAGTCTAAAAAACTCCTTTAACATTGAGATACAACAAAGATTAAGACAATAAGTGACACTGACGATGCTCATGACTTCGGACAGGCACATGCACATTTAATTGATTCAAAGATTATTTTTAAGATATCAATGTCCACCTTTTTAACAAAAGTAAGCAAATGCGTTCAATAATAATTAGCAGTACAAGAAAAGCACTCAACAGTATAATACCGTTTTTTTTAATAAGCAAAAAAAAAAATTATTTCAGCGATTGTGTGTATCTATAAAAATGCTGTCTTTCATTACTAAATCGCTTAACTTTATATCTACATTTGAACATACAAATCAATTTGAATTGATTTACTTAAAAACGTATTAAAGTTAGAACTTCCCAATTATAAGTAAAGTAAAGTTTTCTCTATTTTCATTTCTTGTAAGAGGAGTGTGATTTCTGCTATGTGTAATAGCAGAAATCACTCTCCTCTTACAAGAAATGAAAATAGAGAAAACTTTACTTTACTTATGTATCTTGTGTTCAATAGGTTTCACTTTTTCTCCGTTTGTCTTAGAAGTCTTTTATAACTAATAAAGTGTAACAAAAATACCGAACTCCAATGCAAATTCAGAAAGGAAGTCCATAAAAACTGACAAAATTAAACGCTATCAATCAACGCAACAAGTGAAAATCAACTACCATATTAAGAATTGTATAATCTTTGCAATCTTTCATCATTTGTTTATTGCAAACATGATAAATGTTTTTAATAATGAATGAAATTTCTCATTTTGATCAATGACCATTATACCGAACCCTCATTAGTTTAGTATTGGTGTAACGTTAAATCTAACAAAATTGTCGGCAATTTTGTCGAAATACTATTAATGAACCAATAAGTGATCATGTCCAAAAATAGTCCTAACTTGGCGCGACTGGAGAAGCCGTTCGTGTTACTCAATTTTGTCTGTTTATTGTTTTGTGCATTGTTGTTTGTCTTTTTTTAGACTATGGCGTGGCCAGTTTGTTTGTTTGTTTGTTTTTTTTTCTTCTTTAACTTGATAAATGTTCTGTGGTATATGTTCCATATTTTTATAAAGTTTTTGCTCATCTATGTACATTTATAGTGAACGTCAAAGTCTCCTAAGCACTTCTGTAAGACCTGACTTGCCGTCAGGTGTTTTTGCTTGATAAAGTTCTTATGTCTTTACAATTTTTTTTATTTGGAACTCTAATACCACTACCCTCAAGTCCGGTAATTTCATTTGTTCGTTCAGTCCATTCATTTAATGTGAACATTTTGTTCGTCTGGTAAGTCCATTCATTTCGATATAAACATAACGTTAAGCAAACAGAATATTTGTTTATCAGTAAAAACAATGATTTTGTTATCAATAAATTAAAACCTAACTAAATATCATTGTTATACACTGTGACTTATGTGCATTCACAGTCGTAAAATCTGTCGATACCTATATTTTGGCATTTCACAATATCTTAATTAATTACGTCTCTTATACTAAATCTATTGGAAGTTTGATGAGTACTGGTTGATATTTTAGTCGTACATACATGATTGTTATTAGTTGCTATTAGCTTTAGACAAGCTTTCAGTAAAGTCGGTGAGTACTCTCAGATCTTTACTTTGTGTCTTTTGTGTTTGTGTTAATTGTTTTTGTGACTTGTATCGATCTGATGAGTTAAGCCCTTGTCAACTGATTTTTATAGTTTTTTTTTATTATGTTGTGCTGTTACACCACCGTCTTAGGTGAAAAGGGGGAGGGGTGCGCCCGCAAACATTTTTAACACCCGCCACATTATGTATGTACCTGTCTCAAGTCACGAGCTTGTAATTCAGTAGTTGTCGTTTATTGCTGTATTTCATATTTGTTTTTCGTTTATTGTTTTATACATAAACCAGACCGTTACTTTTCTCGTATTACTTGTTTTATTGTCTTTTCCGTGCCTTTTAAGGCTAGCTAGGCGGTATGGGTTTTGCTCATTGTTGAAGGCCGTACGGTGACCAATAGTTGCTAACTTTCTACGTTATTTGGTCTGTGGTGGAGAGTTGTCTCATTGGCAATCAAACCATATCTTCTTATTTTTATATTACCGGAATAATAAAATTACCAGCCAGAATTGAACGTGTTTCTCCGTCATTACCATGAATACGATAAGGTCAAATGAAAGATAAGTGCAAATAAAACTGAATGTTATAGGATAAATTATCGATGATATTCTATACTAAGTTATTTTGATATATAACAAATTATCGACTACAAACTTGGTTCCAGTATTTAGAGAAAAGATAAATATTGTACCTGGGATTGACATATTATGTCCCAGATTGGATAGTTACATATAATGTGATAAAATCAGCTAAATGATGAAACAAACGTTAGGTAAAAAGAAACGATTGTGTCCTATCATATAAGTTAAAACTAAAATGAAACTTTAAGGTTGTATATTCTTTATGGACGATGCATTGAAATGACGAACGTTTTCAAAATAGGGACCGTTTTATATTTTTCCCAATGTTTGACAATGCATGATGAGAAGAAGCAAAGAAACATAATATAACATTAAATAGTATGGATAGTAGTTTAAGATATTGAACGGGATATTTAAGTTGGCATGATGAAAAGATGAAAACAGTGATTGCATTAAATGTTGTTGGTTTTCCTCTATCGGTTGGTGTATTTGAACAAAATGAAAATGTGATGTTGAATCAATGCCGACAGCCGAAGTAGTACCTAACTCTATAATAAATATGTTCTAGTTGTAATTATACGTTCTAACTTTTTTTTGCAACTCATAAAACACTTCTTGATAAACACACCAAAATGCTCATTTATCTGATTCAGCGGCTTATAGATTGAGCCTGCATTTAAAATCTGCTGGCAGTTTAAATCCCCATTGCTGAACACTGAAGAGGGCTTTATGTCTGTTGCTTGTGTGTTGGTGCGTCATTATGTTGCTGTCATATCGACGTTTAAACATATTCATTTTATTCATATCAAAGAAAAAAAACCATTACAATCAATTGTTTTTTCTTTTTTAAATTAGCATCTTAATGGATAGCTTCAAACTGTTCTACATAAATATAGTTCACATCTGGAAGTAATCAAAAATTTACTTAAAACGTTTTAACTACATATTATAAATAATGATTGATAGGATGTCTGATAACTTCATACTGATTTTAAAACAGTCCGATACACATTCTATATCCATTAAAAGTCTGAGAAGATAATGAATTTCCCGCTGCAACATTATTTACAGTGACATAGTGTTAAAGTGCAGCGGTCGATTTGTTAACTGCTTAAACTAAGAGCAGGTTTTCCGAGCCGTACTATGATCTTTTGAAAAAGAAACGATAGGCAATTGTTGTCAGGTACTAGCAAAAGGTTGTAATATTTCTAAATTTTACAGGTTAAATTGTACACATTATGTACATATTCATCAAGCAAACAAATATCGCATATCTGCTTTTACATTTTTAGTATGTTAATCTTATGTAAAATGAGAAAACGGATCATTTTTTTCAAACTTATCTGTATATTGATGAACACACGATTGATTGATTCTTGTGCTGCTTAACTCGATGACAAACATTGCATTTATATCAAAGCCGTAATTACAGTCAACTAAAACCCCCCAAAAATACAAAGATTTGATATAGGATATAGAGTAGATAATGATAAATATTTGACTTTCATTGAAAACAAAATAGAAAGAAGTGTTTGTATTGCAAATGTGGTCTTTTGCGCCATCCACAATTCTTCCTTGACTTTCATCTTCAAAAACATAACACATCAAAAATACAATGCACTATGCACTATTATAAGCAGTGTGGCTTTGATTTTTATGTTATCTAATTATGTTATTTATTCATTTATACTCCTAAGGCATAATATATACTTGGACTTAATGCAACAATAGTGAAATGTACAATATACTGGGAAGTAATACATTGCGGATTGAAACGTGATCACATGGACTTCCCTCGTCCGTCTGTAAGGCCCGTCCTGAGCATGCTTTGGTTTAAAAGAAAACTTAAACTTAAAAGGAGATTTTGTACTGCGATTTTTTCATACGAATGTAACTGGGGCATCATTTCGAATGTCATTACTGTGTTTATAAAGAGTTCTTTGCACTGAAAAACCTTTGCAACAATATAAATATTTTCGTGGGATCAATTGCCATACCAAACTTTCTAATCTTCATCCCGTTTGACACATTACTAAAAATTAGCAAACATAACGCAGTAATGCCTTACAACAACATTAAGATAAGCACAAAAACATAACTGCATTCTTTGTTTGATTTTATTATCCTTTTTATTCGTAAAACTTCCGGTTTAGCCATAAAACATAGAGACAGTCTCTTTCGTAAGCGTTTGTCCTTAAAGCTTAAGACCTTCGAGCTTATAATAACTATAATACTGCTTTTATGGTGAATTGGTCCGGTGGCAAATATAACATGCATATAAGGACGAGAACATCTTGATGTAATATGAATATGAACCCTGTTTTGTACTAGGCCGACCATGACGCTGAGCCGGATCATTAATAGTTGTGTTCACAAAGTAACACCCTGCACAACAGAGCCAACCAGTATTTGCTCTTACTCCTAAATAAACCATGCTTAAGGAGAAGCAGCAAAACATTTGTTACGTCTTTGGTTTTACCTGAATCGAATTCACGACTTTCCACACATGAGGCTAAAACGTTACCACGAGACCATTATAACTAAAGAAAACATTTATATTCGTCGACATGTGTTTTACCTGAATCGAATTCACGACCTTCCACACATGAGGCTAGAACGTTACCACGAGACCATCATATCTAAAGAAAACATTTATATTCATCGACAAGTGTTTGACCATAATATGTTATTCCATTTATTCCGCAGGAATGACTATTTAGTAAGACCAAATCATATTTGTTGTTCCGTATAATAAAATGAATTTATCGTTAAGTATATATGTTTGTAGACTATAGTTGTTAAATGCTGTTTATATCGACTCCGACAATAATATTGGCTAATTAATTATAACCTGATCATCACTGACAGATACAACTTCAGGAAGTCTTGATTCAACGTTATTGGTTGGTATAAAAGCTTCATCAACGTCAATTTGATTGTCAGTACTATTAGCCTGACTATTCTGATCTTGATGATTACTAATAATGTCAACGGTCAGCTGCTTTATATCCTCTTGCGAAGGCTTTGTCACATCTGCGTTTTGTTTTTCTTTATCAAAATTTCCCATTTTTTCTGGATCCGACACATTGCTCTTAAAACTGCTGGTAAAACTCGCCAATCTTACAAGAAATGAACCCTTTCTCCTTTTTCTGATAAATTTTGTTATTTTGACTAAGACTTCGCGCCTAAACAGTATATATACCCACGGATCTAGAATCTGGTTCAGAGTGGCTAATCTCAGTGTTATAAGATCTGTTCTTCTGTCGATTTTAATAACGCCTGTCGAGTTGATTATTATTCGAATCTGAAAAGAGAAACAGGCTGAAATTATATAATTAGCATATTTTATTAAGTTAAATAGACTTATAGCCGACTATATGGTATGGGTTTTTTCTCATTGTCGAAGGCCGTACGGTTACATATAATTGCTTACTTCCACTTCATTTGAACTTTGGTGGATAGTTGTCTCATTGGCAATCATACCACATCTCCTTATTTGTATATTTACAGAATTTGATTGATTTTCCTCATTTCTAGAAGGAATATTACGGATTAAGAATATTTGATATATCTTATTTAGGATATCGAATTGCTTAATTTGAAAATAACACAATTTTAATTATTATCAAGTAGTATGCCATGTTTGTTTTGATTGTAATACCTGAAAAATATAGAAAATACAGGAACGTGCCTGAAGATTTATTTATGAGGATTATTGTAGCACATATCAACAACTGTTAATTACATAAAAATTACCAAGTTTAAAAATCAAAAGAATTAGAATAATAGCAATAGAGGTATATAAAATTGTTAATAAACAATGTCCACTGTATTTACATGATCTTATTGAAATTTAAAGCTGTGGTTATTCTTTCAGAAATGACGATATAGCTGATGTTCCCGGGGTAAGGACACTACCAATGGGCTGCACTCATTCAGATGTGCAGGAGCCAAACTCTGGAACGAACAGCCGAATAAGATGATGGAAGAAATGCCTTTTGATCAGTTTAAAAGTTTGGTTGGTAATTGGGGGAGCAGTTCGTGTCAGTGTTCCCCCTTCAGATCTCAGTGAGCTGTAGAACATCTATTAATCTTATATACTCTGGCTTTTATATTTTTGTTGCATACTTTTTTATTTTTGTTCTACATGCTTGAAATTCTTCAAGTGCTTAATAGCTACTGCATGAGTACAGTTTGTCTGCATTTTCAGTTTGCTTTTAAATGCTTTGATTTGCTTATTAATTGCTATGATTTGCTGTGCTTTCTGTTTTAAATGTTTTATATCTTGTGTTTATCAAATATATGTATGTCAGTTAAAAGCTCCACAGAGCTTATGTTGTATTGTTATATGTATACCCGACTTTAAATAAATCTGTTTATGCTACGTAATGTATCCGCCTCTGAATAACATTCGACTTTCGTTATTAATAAGCTGAGAGGGAAAATATCAAGTGAAACAATTGACAATTCTTACAATCAAAATTTAATGGTAAGAACAAATAAAGTTTATAAAATTTTGTCTCCAAACGTAATCTTATATTAATACTTCAGGTGAATTCTGATGTACCATGAGTTTAAGCATCTTTTAATAGATTTGAAATTTACGTTAGCCATTGTTTGTAGCTAGAGATAAATCTACACTTGGAATCAAGCACAATAATTATTTTCAGCTGCGTGTCTTTTTCAAAATTTGCGTAGTTTGAATAGTATCTAGTTATAGCTATTCCATAAAAAGGGAAACATAAAAAGGACAGAAATAAAAAAAAAAATACCATAAATTGTGTCATCCGAAATTCAATTGTATCTTGTATAAAGTTACGTGTATGTGTAGGAAGTAAATAGAATTATGAAAAGCTTTAAAATCGTTATCACAAAGAATATAAAAATTGATAATTCACATGAGTCTGGTGTAATAAGAAAAAGTAATCGTGTAATTGTCTTTCAATTATGCCTTTAATTTAAACAACCCAGGATTCGAACGGATTATGCTTTGGGGAATAATGTGAAGCAATCTCGAAAATTAAAACCTCAAATTTTGATTTGCAATTATTAGAATGGCCATTGTTCTCAAACCAGAAATAGAAAAGACATTTTATCAGTTTATCTAGATAACAATGTACACTGTAGGACTATATAAGTCACGGAATCTTGCGTGTTCATGACAATTATTCTATTTTATGTTTATCTATCTAAAAAACCAGGAAATTATAAACCAGGAAAAACTTATAAGCATAAAATGTACATCGATACTGATAAATGATAATTATAGAAAAATAAGATAAAATAGATAATATCGGATGGACAAATATTTCGGCACAAATAGCCTTCGTAATTTTCAATCTTGGTTTTTTTTATTTCATAATGCAATTACGTAATCTAAAATTCTAAGTTCTCATATATACAGGTAATTTGTAATTTATCCGTAATCTTGAAAGATATACAATAAACAAAACTCAATACCTTACACGTGGGTGCGTACGTATACATCCCAAACTGTCAAACTGCAATAGCATATGCAAACCTATACTATTAATACAGCCAAAATATACCCCTGATGAATGCAATAAAAAAAAAGGATTTTTTTATGATGATGTCATTTGGATGAAGGACATTAATATAAAAAAGGAGATGTTGTATGATCGCCAATGAGACAACTGTCCTCCAGAGTCCAAATGACGTGGATGTAAGCAACTATTGGTTGCCGTACGGGTTTCAACAATGAACAAAACCAATACCGTACAGTCAGCTATAATATGCCACGACATGACAAAATGAGAAACTATTCAAACAAGAAAAACCAACAGCCTGATTTGTGACAAAAAAATTAACGATATACAAATATGACAGGCTGCAACTATCGATGACCACTGAATTACAGACTCTTTACTTGAGTAAGGTACATAAAGAATGTGGCGGGGTTAGACATGTTTTTTAGCGCTATAACCTAGGTCAGTGGTTTAACAGAACAACATAAGACAAGACTGTAAAAACCAGTTGGAACACAAAATATTCATTCACTGGACTCCCGCTGGGTTTCATTCTAGTAAATGTTCTGTTTAATTACTAAAACTTTCATGCGGGTGATGTCGTCGAGGTTGTGGTCCGACTGTGAAGTGTCTCGCTTGGAGATGTGACTTCTTCGTAATATCGTCTTATGTCGAGGTTGTGGTCCGACTGTGAAGTGTCTCGCTTGGAGATGTGGTTTCTACGTGATATCGTTCTTATGTCGAGGTTGTGGTCCGACTGTGAAGTGTCTCGCTTGGAGATGTGGCTTCTACGTGATATCGTTCTTATGTCGAGGTTGTGGTCCGACTGTGAAGTGTCTCGCTTGGAGATGTGGCTTCTACGTGATATCGTTCTTTGTCGAGGTTGTGGTCCGACTGTGAAGTGTCTCGCTTGGAGATGTGGCTTCTTCGTCATATCGTTCTTATGTCGAGGTTGTGGTCCGACTGTGAAGTGTCTCGCTTGGAGATGTGGCTTCTACGTGATATCGTTCTTATGTCGAGGTTGTGGTCCGACTGTGAAGTGTCTCGCTTGGAGATGTGGCCTCTTCGTCATATCGTTCTTATGTCGAGGTTGTGGTCCGACTGTGAAGTGTCTCGCTTGGAGATGTGGCTTCTTCGCCATATCGTTCTTATGTCGAGTTTGTGGTCCGACTGTGAAGTGTCTCGCTTGGAGATGTGGCTTCTTCGTCATATCGTTCTTATGTCGAGGTTGTGGTCCGACTGTGAAGTGTCTCGCTTGGAGATGTGGTTTCTTCGTCATATAGTTCTTATGTCGAGGTTGTGGTCCGACTGTGAAGTGTCTCGCTTGGAGATGTGGCTTCTTCGTCATATCGTTCTTATGTCCAATGAGGCGTGTGTGGAAAGGCCACAGGTGAAACTTTCAAACTTTGGTGAGTCATATTGTAAAATACTTTTCTTTCACTAATGGATGGTAGTTCTTTTGAGTGGTCTTACTAATGAATGTTGATGAAGGTTATGCAGAGTTTGTCACCACATGAGCGGCATTCTCCAAAAGCAATACTGGATTAAAACACTTCAGCCGGCACCAGCAGATTGCTAAGATTATTTGTTGTCCAAAACCTATCTTAGTGGGCTCGGGAAAGGTCTTAGGTAGTTCGAGATTTTTTTTTCTACTGGTTTCCAATGCTCCCGAACAACACCATGCTATTTTCACAAATAATTGGTAAGTTAGAACAAACGGAGTCCTTTTATCGAATTATTTTGATCTTATTATCCTTTGTCATTCGGTTCACAGTTAGGGTTAGTGTTGACGTTCATATCTGATTTTGTTTTTTTGAAGGGATGAAAATGAAAAAGATGGATAGAAATTACTAATTATACATTATTATATTTTGAATTATTATCATGTAACAAAATTTACTGTTGAATACTTGAACATGTACATTCGTTTTGTTAAATCTTTGTTTCTTGCCGTGGATACCCTTTGGAATAAAATTCGTCCGATCGAGAATCTAAAAACTATAGAAGATTTGAAATAACTATAAACAGCAAAAAATTTCAGACTAGATCTACAAATAGGTCAACAAAGATGAAAGTGTAAGCCAACTTAAAGATAGTGACATTAAATGACGATTTTTAGCTATTTTTGCAAAAACTATAATAGAAAGAGAGAAACTGAAAGCAGAAATATATGATCAGCAATATAAAATCAACAAACAAAAGAGATCTTAGTCATGAATTACATCCTAGTCTAAAATGTTGGAGAGGGACCATTGATGAAAATGCACATAGATCAAGCGACACAGGCTCTTAAGAGCCTCTAGTTGTGCTTAGTACAGATTAGATGAGCTAATATAATATATGGTATGCATTTTCTTTGATCATTGTTGAAGGTAGTTACCCGAAGTTTTTGGATCCCTGTCCTTTGACTTTGTACTGAATATTTGTCTTATAGCATTTATGAATTAAAGGAGATGTTCGGTATACGTCAATGAAAAAGCTACCTAATAACATAAGTAACCAAAAGACACATCGGAGTCAACATTAATGCCCGCTACTTGGGGTTAAAACTGCAATCATTTGCTAGACACTAGGGTCAGTGAAGCCACCAATTCAGATAAATACACATTTTGGTATGTAGATATAGACAAGCACTGACGAGGTTACTAAAGCATTTCCATGTGATGAATGACCATTCTGAATAGTGAAACATTGTAAGACATCTAAAGCTCAACACACAGCCTTCAGTAATTATCAGATGCCTATACAACATATCAAGCTATAAAACGGCCGAGTCCAAATATTTTTTCGTTTGTTAATTACTATAGTCATATCTTATATGCTTCCCATGAGTAAAGATCTGGAAACATCTACATAAATAAATATTCGATAATAATTAAATGAAAAGTTCGTTCCCATCAAAAATACTCCTGTGTGTAATTATCTAAACTAACTCGATATTACTATTAAAAGCATGTTCATATTTTAGCATACATGCAAATGTATATATTGTTGTGACGGATGGCACATTAACAATATTAAACCAAAAAACACATTTGCTCCTGAAATAATTCTCAAGAATTTCTGTTTTCAAACCTTAGTTGCATAATTTCATAAACCTAGTTGAACTGAAAACTGCCATTAGAAATAAGAAGTGGGTAGCTTGCATTGGATTAACATACATTACATGACATTACAAGAATGTTTATAATGTGGAATATTTAAATAATTATTCGCTATTAGCAGCCGTTTTTTTTTCAATTTTGTAAAACATAAATACGAAGACATCGCTGATAAACTAGTGTCTTGCAAGATAATAAGTCTATCTCATTTGTGGTACTTATGCATGCAACCTTTAATATGACCCTTAGTTGGAAAAGGGTTTCACTTGTGCTCAGTATGTTCAGTTATCAAAATTAAAAAATGTCCAAATAGATAAAAGAAAAAGGAAACCATCAGGAAGAACCATTTCGTTGACTGATTTGGTCCACAAAAATAATTCGTATACAGGTGAAAAGATGATTAATACATTTTTTAATCTATGACACGAAATCAAACAGACCTCCAAAATCGTCATTAAACTATTGCACGTGTTTTTTGTCTATTTATATTAATATCTATATGTATATCGGGTTACATGACCAGCCGCAGTCTTTGGAGGTCATCTCGATGGTTGATAAGATATGGCGTCTAGTACTTAACTATGCACGAATGCTGATACTTTATGATGATTTCGTGAACTGTTTACCGTTTCCTTTTTTCTAATTTTGGTAAATATTTTTGTATCTATTAAATCAAATTAAGCAGTCATGTTGAGTCAATTTGATGGTAATGAATTTGGAAGCCAATGTCGCCCATTTAGTCATTGACTTTATTAATGAGATTTAATCATTAACGTTAAATAAATGGAAGGTATTGTCTTCTTAACATCAGATAACTTTTTTTATAATTTTTAAATGATATGAGCGTCTTTCTATTACTTACATCATATCTTTTTATTTCGTAAGCGGCGTTCCCGCCATTATTTTACATAAAATTGCATGCTTTCGCAATTTAATCATTGTGTGATTTGAACTGAAGAAACACAAACCCCATCCTTGACTATACTTTTCGGGTGTTTGTTGTATATTTTCTGATATTGACAAAAGAAGTGTCATAGATATAAGAAGATGTGGTATGAGTGCCGATGAGACAACTCTCCATCCAAGTCAAAATTTATAAAAGTAAACCATTATAGGTCATAGAATGGATTAATTTGACATGTATGTATTTGTTTTTGCTGAATGGCTAAATATATCACAGTTGGCGTCCGGTAGCCAGTTGCCGTTGCTGGTTATCCTTTAATGTTTTTATCTTGGATTAATGAGACATTTTCATCGATTGCAAATACGATTCCCCGTGATAAAATTTGCCAAACATAAAACTTACTATTTGACATATGTTTTTATCACGGTTATTGAATGGTTTGTCTCACAGTTTTTCTATGATAAAGATTATCCGGAATCTTGGAAATATTATGAGTGATTTAAGCGACTTTGTGTAATCCTTTCATACATGTGTAACACTACCATTGTATTTCATTTGTTTTTCTTTCCAGTATTTAATAATAGGTTTACCGCTAACATTATTTAACATGCGTTCGTTTTAAAATTTCTAATAATTCAAAATACTGTTAGTTTCTTAACAGGCGACTGTGTTGAAATTGACAAAACAAACGGGTTTTTTTTTTTGTGTCATGAATAAAAGATGTGTGGTATACGTCAGTTAGACAGTAACCAAACAATAGAAATAACCAAACGACATGAATGTAAATCTTACCATAAATGGTGTCCAGCAAATAGCAAACGTAGCAAATATAGCCACTAAAAACACAGTTATATAAATATCTGTCCTTGCACGCGCAGATTTACTACTAATACTCCCACGTCGGGCGTGGCTTCTCTTCCCACGAGTCAAAGCTACTATTACAAGTATGTTCAGGATTGCCGTCATTGAAATAACACCTAAACCAATTGAAGCGTAAAAGTATGAAAATATCTGATCTTCAACAGTGTTTCCAAAAAAGTTGAAAAAGCACCATGTTCCTGGGAACTGTTTTATATTATGTCCAAGTCCCATAAGCGGCAAGCAGGCCACAAACGCTGACCCGATCCATATTCCAACGATGATTATATTAACGATGGTATCTTTATTCCACTGACTATATTTAAATGGAAATGTAATAGCCAGGTATCTATCTAGTGCCATGGCTCCCACAAATACTACCGTGGCAACTCCTGCAAAGGTTAGCATGAATGATAAATAATGACAAAGTGGTTGTCCGCCAACCCATACAAGATCATTGTCATAAACGGCAAACGCAACTGGTGATGTAGTCAAAATACCGAAAAGATCTGTCAATGCTAAAGCTGTTACGAACCTGTAAAACACGTTCCATTTATGACTTTTTGATGCTTTGAAAAGGAAAAATATTGCTATGATGTTTCCTGTGACACCAAGAGTAAAAGTTACTGCTGACGGGACCGGTGAAGGTTTGGCTAAAAATGACTTCACTGTTAAGTTGGTCTCTTTCACATCTGGAATACCGGTGAAAGAGAAATTTTCCATTTGAATATATTGTCATAAACTGATTTTTAAAACTCCTATCACATCCTAGTTAAGTTTGTATCCGTCAAATGTAAAATTACACTTCCCTCTTCATCTTTTTTTACCGGACAGGAAAAGAAACACAGCAATAAAACTATGACATCTATTCACGATTTCCTGGTTACAAATTGAGTTTACGCGTCTTTTTTTTTCAAAATATACCGTTCACAAGTTTTTCCATTAAGACTTTATCTCACCAGAAATCTGTAAATTATTAAAGTGATCGAATTTTCAGATAAAACCATAAGAAAAATAAGTTTTTACATCAACTGCAATTTTCTTTATACAGTACATTATAGTTTTAAAAGTGTTGTCTCTTTTTACTATCTCTACTAACTTTATAATAATTATGTTACATTTGCAATCCTAAGAGAGACATAATGACACAAAATTCTCGTATTTCTATGTCAGACTGTTGATGTTCGACTATTGGAACAATAACCAATATTCTAAGCCTATCCACATCACGGTGCTAAGCTATAACCGATAACTGGTTATTGATTTTGCAATTAATCTAGAGTTATGTATGATTATCAACGAATAATCCAGGTTTGAATAAATACGAACGGATCATTTTCTTTGCTTATGTAGTTCAATACAGCAATTAGTGTTGAAATGATCATGATAAACACATTTGTGTATTTTTAACGAGAAAACATTCGTTGTGTTAATTATTTCTCTGCGTAATTATAACTAATGACATAGCAGATATTTTTCAACTAACACTTATCATAACATTATAGAAAAATGTATTTGAAGCTCATAGATTTAGTCTTCATTTAAGATGAAAGCAAATTATAGGTTATATTTCAGATATTTGAAAGGGCTATTTCCAGCTAAATATAAAATAGCTGTCTCATATAAATTTAATGGTTTAAGCACTCGATGATACAAGCCAAAACTATTTTAATGAAAATGTTGAAAACAGCCTCTCATAGTCATGCTGTTTGTATTTATTTCATAAGTTTCAACTTGTCTTTTTGTTTCAAAACTTAAAGTATTTGGATATAGAGTAGGCGAACTATTATTTATTGCATGTATTACATATGTCATGATGAAGCTCTAATATAGCTTACAATTTAATAATTTATACATATTGTTGAGGAGAAAGAACAACTCAGAAACCGTGTTTTTTTTTACTTTGAATATCCGGCTTATTTTGTAATAGGAAATATAATTTCCGAGAATACATAGGAATTCGCTAGTTTTATTCAATAAAAACAGTGGTCATGGGAGATGTACTTTATTAGGTTTATTTTTCTGACTGATTTCCAAAGAATGATTGACTTGATTCTGTTATGAGATATGAACAATCTAATTGAAATATTTGATAGTATTTAGTATCAGTTTTCTTCTGGCTTGGACTAAGCTTGGTACAAAGAAAATGAGCTTACAGACTTATTTGGAAAGGATATAGTTACGATACTGTTGTCAAGTCATTAAGGATTGCATATTTTGGTATTAATATTGATTCACTCATAGAGTCTTTGCATCGGAAATAAACACATTTATTCTGAAACCAGTTGTTGGCATGATACGGGTTATGTTCTTCTCATATATTTTATGATGGTATGATACTAAACCCCTAACGGGAGGGATTGTACTTGATTTTCATATGATGAAGACATAATCTTTCAATCAGTTTAATTGAGGTCTGGAGCTGGCATGTCAGTAACTGCTAGTAGTCCTTTGTTCATTTATGTATCATTGTCATTTTGCTTAGTTTCTTTTGTTACCTATTCTGACATCGGACTCAGATTCTTTTAAACTGAGTTTTACTGTGCGTATTGCTATGTGTTTGTTTGTTCAACATTGGCTAGAGGTATAGGGGGTGGGTTGAGATCTCACAAAACATGTTTAACCCCGCCGCATTTTTGCGCCTGTCCCACGTCAAGAGCCTCTGACCTTTGTTAGTCTTGTATGTTTTTTAAATTTAGTTCATTTATATGTTTTGGAGTTTAGTGTGACGTCCATTTTCACTGAACTAGTACACAATTTTATTTAGGGGCCAGCTGAGGACCACCTCCGGGTGCGGGATTTTCTCGCTGCGTTGAAGACCCATTGGTGGCCTTCGGCTGTTGTCTGCTCATTGGTCGGGTTGTTGTCTCTTTGACATATTTCCCATTTCCATTCTCAATTTTATACTCCATATTTTCCTCTGTATACTCAACTAGAATGCAATTAACCTATATAAATGGCACAAATGTTCACAAAACAAAACTGTCAAAGGGTGACCGTCATTAAGAGCAATATTCTACAAACATTTATATGTTGTTTCTATTCCTGCACTTCCGAACAGCTAATACAGACTCCAATATTGATGCATTACAAAAACGCCATGAAATGAATAAGAAATAAATCTTTTCGTGAATTACTTTTTGACCTACTGACAAATGCACCGGCGTAGAACATTTTTTTCTTATTAACAGAAAACTAAAGTATATAAACAGCTTTCTGCACAGTAGGCATAATTCTTAAAAAGGACCAGATATTTTTATGTATAATAATATAATTATAACACCCCACCAGAGACAAAATGACGTAGATGTTCACAATCATAGGTTACCGTACGGCCTTCAACACTAAGTTTGTTTTTCGGTCATTTAAAAAGCAATCGAAAAAGCGTGGTGCTGAAACCTAAGAACTCTGTCAAATAAATGTAAAGATGAAAAACAAATTATATGACATATAAAATAAGCCGGATATATACAGACATTTTCTAAGAGTTTGACTTTCAAGAATTAATAATTTTACTGAATTTTTTTCAATTCTTACACGCACTTAACTCGACAATTTTTAATGTATTTCAAGTTTGGATGTAAGGGACTGTTAACCATAATTTTCAATAGCTAACACATGAATATCCTGATTAAATTCTGAGGACAAAGTTTTGTGTTATATCTGGCCTTTCGGTCATAAGACTTGACTTATTACTCGAAGTACAAAATTTGTGCTCGAAACACCAAATATAGTATTTCGATTGGTTGATTTATGAGTCTGAGTACTGTAATCGTACTTAAAATTTTACGACCACAAGGTCACTACAACTCCCTTTGGCGAAATCCTGAACATCAAACGTTCCCGGTTCAGGCAATACTTTTCTGATAAAACACTTAACATGAGGAAAATAGAGGTTTTCACAAACAGCACATACATGACTATCTACTGCTTTTTCTTGTGTTCGCAAAAGATTCATATTAACATTAGCATGATTAAGTGAACTTATATATCTTTTGGCTTATCAGAGCATTCTAGAGACTAAAACAGATCTTCATACGATTGTAGACCTAATAATATCCTGAGGCACCGCATTGAAGACGAAAGATAATCCTATCTTTGCATCACAACCAAACATGGCATAGTATGGCTATATGTTAATACATATTAATTATTATTTTTCAAAATGGTTTCCACCTTAATTGCTGACTGTGTGATATAGAAATATGGACTCCTCCAATCCGCCGGTAAAACCGATGCTACAGATAAGAATCCGTTTGCCTGTACGGAATGTATCAATTTGCATCCTTTCTGAACATTAAATATGATGCCTCATGTAGGGAGAGTGCCATGCTTATTGAACGTTAAGAACTTTTTGCCTATTTTTGGCCTATTGAAAGGCAGCATTTCTGTCCTTATCCAACATACCTTTATTTTAAAGTGACAACCGAAATTCCCGTCCTTCATTCAGGTCGATCAAAACTGACCTATTGGTTGTACACTAGTAAATGTGCCACGCATGAAAATCGTGCGAAAATCATGTCATATCGTGCGTATTTTTCGATTTACGCATACTTCATATTTCGCACGATAAACCTTCATAAGTACCAACTAAAAAGACTTTACAAATATATGGTGATTTATATGATTGATTTGGTAATGTAGTAATAGTTCAGCTGCCATTATCCTTGCACGTCGTCATTATATAGATATATAAGTCAAAAAGTAAGGATATCTGAAAAAAAAACATCACAGAATGTTTTGTGTTTTTCAATGAAGTCCTACTTAAAAGTGCTGTTTCCAGCTGTAGTTGACTTTATTGGAAATCAAGCTATATCATTAAATGAAAATTTTACGTAGTACTTGTCAAACCATTGTATTTAAGTTCCTTTTGGTGTTGCTTGTTCAAGTGAATTGTCGAAAACATTAAAAACTATTGGCTGTCAGTATTAATTGGATGTCAGGATTTTAAAGAAAATGCAAAATATTTATGGACTCTGAGAATGGTCTCAGTTGTATGCTTTATTGACACTTTAGTGAAATAAGCGACAATAGAATTGCAATAATAAGTATCCTCATCTACCAACCAAATTCAAATTCAAATATTTATTTTTCCAATCAAGTACGTCCCACCGGGAAATTTACGAACAACAATTATAATTAAAATGTCAATTGTTCTTGAACAATTGAGAGGTCTTTCCTTTTCATTATGTAAAATATATGTTTGAATAAGCGTATAATGCATTGAAAAGCTCTAAAACACACACAAAACCCTTAAAATATGGTCAAAACACATAATTCGGAATTTGGGACATGACCTTGACTTTTGACCTTATGACCTTTGTCAAGGTCAATGGTCCACGATGTCATAACAAAAACCCCATAAGTCTAGGACCTTTGGTTCATGAGTTAAAGCTTATTTTGTCTTTTCTAAAACAGTTAACAGGGGTTAAGCCCCTTACGGATAGGTCAAATCTCTTCGGTCAAATGTAAAAAAGTTGCGCCTTTATGTCCCAATTATTTTTCACTATTTACTATTTCTGTAAGTAATATCGTTTTGGAGATATCCAATAAATAAGTTTTAGGGTCAAAGGTCAAGGTCAACCACAAAAAGCTTTAAGACACACTAAAAATCCTTTAAATAAGGTCGAAAACACATAATTCGCTACCTGGGACATGACCTTGAGCTTTGACCTTTTGACCTTTGTCAAGGTCATTAGTCCCCAATGTCATTGCTGAAGACCCCATGGATCTAGGACCTTTGGTTATATAGTAAAAGCTGATTTTGTCTTTTCAGAAACCTAAAACAGGGGTTATGCCCCTTACAGAAAGGTCAAATCTCTTCAGTCAAAGTGTAAAAAAGTTGCGGCTTTATGACCCAAACATTTTTCACTATTTACTATTTCTGTAAGAGTTACCGTTTTTGAGATATCCAATAAAAAGTTGTAAGGTCAAAGGTCAAGGTCAACCTTAAAAAGCTTTAAAAGACACTAAAAATCCCTTAAATAAGGTCAAAAACACATAATTCGCTATCTGGGA